TTAAGTTGGTGGGCATAGTGAGCCTCAACAAATATTTGCTTTTGATCCTCCAAAGTGCGAATATGTTCATCATTGTGAGCCAAGCCTTGTTTCAAGTTCTCGAGTGCAAAGTTGTGCTTCTCCTCATTTTCAAGAATCGTTTCCAACATGAGCATCATTTTCTCATTTTGAGCATTTGAGATTGAGAGTTCTTCTTGGTTTTGATCAAGTGCCAAGGAAGGATTTTCAATTTCAATCTCCAAGGAATGTTCTTGGCTATCATTCACTTCCGAGGCTTTTTGAACCCTTAAGGCTTCGATCATTTCATCCATTTGTGAGTGCAACCTTTCAAGTGCCAAGTCATTTTGAAGACAATTCTCCAAAAGCTCCTCCAAGGCATTTTGCTCCTTGTTTCCTACTTCAAGTAAACACTCCAACATAAGCTTGAACTCTCCACTTTGGCCATGCTCAACTTCTTCCACTTCCATGGCCCCAAAATTTGCATCACAAAAAGTAGAATCATCATAGCGAGGGCTTGTGGAAGGGAAGGACAAATAAGCACAATCATCCAAATGACCATTTTGAAAACCAAACTTATCACAAATACTCCACTCATAGGGTTGAGATTGTGCGCACAATCCACCCCCGGGAGAATTTAAACAATTTTGCCACGAGTGTGGTCCTCCACAACAAGGACAAGGGTCATCAAAGTATGAACAACTACCATCCGACCAATTTTCATTATATGATGCCATTTTTCAAAAATAAGAAAAAAAACAAGAAACAACAATAAAAATAGACCAAGGTAAGAAAAATAATTACACAAATATTCACAAGTTTGGACCAAAGCACTTACGCTTATTTCTCAAACAACCTAAATTACGCCAAACTGTTCCCCGACAACGGAGCCAATTTTGATGACGTCCAAATCCACTACTAAAAAGTAAATGGACATGGTCGCATGCAATATAATTTACCCAACTATGAGTCGGGGTCGAATCCCACAGAGAACAATATGTAGGCGATAAGGAATGTAAGAAAATTATCACTTATCGCGCAATGCCAAACAATAAGAATTTGTTTTGAAAATGTTTTATATTTAAGTGCGAAAATGTAAACTAACCTAGAAAGTAAGTAAAATGATCAATGACTACAAGTATGAATGCATCGGGAATTACACTCAAGTAACGATCTAATGTATTTCATGATTTTACAAATATGAGCGAGTTTATGTTAATTAGCCACGGATAATAATTCTTAATTAGCTTCTTCCGAAGGCTAACAAGACTTCCTAATTGAATTATCCCTAAAACAATTAAGAGATTAAGCACACCCGGAATGGCTACAAGTAGTTCAATTTTATCCCTAGGTAGAATCTATAAAATGAGGGTTAACGCCTCGAGTTTTTGTTAATTAATCTTTCCAACCCCAAATTATCTTTTCCAAAATTAATTCGGAGTTACTGGGCAAGTCCTAGGGTTAGCTAATCCCTTTGGAAACATTAAAGAACAAGAATAATTAAAGAAACAACAACTCACTTCATAAATAAATGAAAATCATTCAATACATAAGCACAACAAGGTATTTAATCCACACTTTAATTATGAATATTTCCATAAACAAGATTCAAGTGTTGGAAATAAACACTACACACTTAAATATTCAATACAAAGCAAGGAAATGAAGAAATAAACATAAATGGGTAAGAAATCCTTAACCACAAGCTTGAAATCTTCAAAACCCAAGTATGTATGCAAAACCCTAACTTCCACAACTTGTTCTCTCTTGTGTGTGGAACTGAAAATAAGCCAAAGATCCCCAAAATATCTGCTTGGTCGTGTATAAAAACGGTTTGGGGATTAAAAATGAGAAATTCCAGAATTGCCCAGGCCTGAAGCTCGATCTTCGCAATTGCGAACAAAGATTCGCAATTCCCAACAATGCCTGTGCTGCTTCACTTCGCATTTGCGATGACTGCTTCGCATTTGCTAATATTGACCCTTTGAGTTGACTTCGCATTTGCGATGATTGCTTCGCATTTGCGAAGATTGACCCTTTGAGTTGACTTCGCATTTGCAAAGTCTTCTTCGCATTTGCGAAGACTGCATAAATCAACTATGCTTCGCAATTCCCAGGATTTCCTCGCAATACCCAAGTCTGTTATCTTCGCATTTCCCAATTTTTTTCGCAATTGCGACCGATGAGGGCATTGCTTAGATTTTTCCTCTTTTTAGCTTCTTTTTTACTTGTTTTCACTTGGTTTCTTCACCATTACTTCTAAATCACATACAACCTGTAAAATAGAAGTAAATGACATTAAATACATGATTTTATCACTTGAACATAGCAAAAATATAGGTTTAAAGACATGATAAGTTGGTAAAATACTAACTTATCAAGCGCTTAGGCTGAATGAGCCCCTCCAAGTCTGCACACCCCAGGAAGCGCAGTTGATTATATACAGGGATGGATCTTCCCTAGGCATGGAGATGGATCTTCTCCATGGGGTTGGATTAGCCTTTTCCTCGGTACTGGCGACTGATGGACAGTGATGTACATATATATATTCCGGGATGGATCTTCCCTGTGCCGTTTGGGCCATATACAGTACCGAGTGGTTGAGCATTGGTATATACACCTGGAGATGGATCTTTTCCATGTGGTCAGATTGGCCTTCCTCAGTACTGAGTTACTGATGAACAATGATGTGCATATTTTGGGATGGATCTTCCCTGGGCCGTATGAGCCATATACAGTACCGAGTGGTTGAGCATTTATGAGTGGAGAGTGTGAGAACATGTTTCACCTCCGGGGTACATGGCATTGACATGCATACATGACATACATGCATAGAGATACATTTTCCTCTTACTGCACGACATCACGTCGTTCATGATTTCTTTTACACACATTGACATGTGGGCATAGAGAGGTATTTCGCACTTGCTATTTGGAAAGAAAATGAAACATTTTATTTATTGGGGAAAGGATTTTTTTTGGGGGGAAATTTATACTTTTCAAACTAATTGTACTTTTCGAAGATTTCGGTAAGGGATTGGGTTTTTCACTGATATTCTTGAAAAGCAAAACTATTTTTACCAAAAAACTGTGAAAAAGCTGAGCATGTTATCTCTGAGTGACTTCCTTATTTATATGCTCTATGTGGTTATAAATCGTTGTTGGCCTGGTATTGGACCCGACCATGTTGCTGTGTTCGATGGGAGTTGAATTGGAAGAGGTACTAGTATCTCTGTTGTAGCTACCTCTTTTGATGGTAGCCTTAGATTTATAAAACTCTATTTATGTACTTTTCAAATAGAAGATGTATATATTTTATACCAGCTTTGTAAAATCTATTCTTAAAAGCTCACGATTTGTACTATCAGTCCTTGGGAAATGTAATAGATCCAGATAATTTATTTATGTTTAATTAACTTATTAATATTATTTAGATTGGATAGTTATTAGTTGGCTTACCTAGCAAGTTGGGTTAGGTGCCATCACGACTAGTGGATTTTGGGCGGTGACAGGTTGGTATCAGAGCTCTAGGTTCATAGGTTCTACAAGTCATGAGCAAGTGTCTGGTAGAGTCTTGCGGATCGGTATGATGACGTCCATACCCATCTTTGAGAGGCTACAGGACATTTAGGATATACTTCCCATCTTTGTTTCCTTACTGTGCGTCATTGATTCAGCTCGAAGCGTAACTCTTTGAATTCCTTCCACGCATTCGTATGCTCATGTGAGCGCTCAGTATCAGCTGTGCATCGACGGCTTGTGATTCCATGGTTGAGGTGCGAGATGTGATTTCTGTGTGTTGATGATGGGATAGTCTGGAGGACTTGAGGCTGGGTTTTGACACTATCTTGAGCACTGAGGTATTTATACTTTATTGTGTGAGCATGTGCTTTTTGATTTATATGTCTGGCAATGTCCCTATTAGTGAAATTTGTGGATGGATGGCTATGTGATGAGTATGATAGGAATGCGGGAAGTGTTCAGGTGGTTAAATGTGACGAGAAGAGTTTGATTGAGGTGTAGAAAGAACTATTGGGCGCTTGATTTCCATCTTGATTTGACGTATAGCCTCGAGTTATGGGTGTGTTGAAGGATCTTGTAACAACCCGACTGGTCGTTTTGAGCTCTAGTGCGTCGTTCGGCAGTTTGAGGCCACAAACAGCTTCACTTCAGGTATTATGACTTGTAAGCATGGTCACTATTGAATTTTGGGAAGTTTGGAACTTATTTGGAAAGAAAATCCTCATTTCGGAAGCTTTACGTTGAAAGAATTTGCTAAGATCGAATTTTTGAGTAAACGACCTCGGAATCGAGATTTAAAGGTTCCAACAGGCTCGTATGATGATTTTGGATTTGGGCGTATGTCCGGATTGGGTTTTGGATGACCCGGGAGCGTTTTGGCGCCTATCGTGGAAGTTCGCCTTTTAGAAGAAATTTCATAAGTTTGGGTTGAAGTGAATTTCAGTGTAATTGATGTCCATTTGGGATTCCAAGTCTATGAATAGCTCCATATGGTGATTCTATTATTGGGAGCGTGATCGGAAGTAAATTCGGAGGTCCGTAGGTTATTTTGGTGTCATTTGGCCAAAGTTAGAAATTTGAAGGTTTTTGAGAAGTTTTACCGGAAGTGGACTTTTTGATATCGGGGTCGAATTCTGATTTCGGAAATTGGAGTAGGTCCATAATGTCGAATGTGACTTGTGTGCGAAATTCGAGGTCAATCGTACGTGATTTGATAGGTTTCGAAATTGAATGAAGAAGTTTGAAGTTCAAAAGTTCATAGAGCTCGAATTAGGGTGTGATTCGTGATTTCGACGTTGTTTGATGTGATTTGAGGCCTCGAGCAGGTCCGCATTATGTTTTGGGACTAGTTGGTATGATTGGTCGGGGTCCCAGGAGCCTCGGGTGGATTCTGGATGGCTAACGGATCAAATTTGGAATTTGAAGATGGAATTAAGCAGCTGCCTTCTAGTGTAACCGCACCTGCGAGGCTTGGGCCACACTTGCAGAGCCGCAGAAGTGGCCTACGTGTCGCAGAAGTGGAGCAGGGCTGTCAGGCAAAGGGCCGCAGGTGTGGAGTTGTGGCCACATCTGCGCAATCGCAGAAGCGAAGAAAGGGGCACAGAAGCGGATGAGGACCGCATGAGCGGGATTTTGACCGCAACTGCGGAGCCACAAAAGCGGCTGTTGGTCCGCAGGTGCGAAAGTCGCTAGGCAGAACGTATTAAATAGCGGGGTTTGGCCACTTTTGCTCATTTTCTCCATTCTTGGATGATTTTTGGAGCTTCTTGAGAGGGGCTTCAACCTAGCAACTTGGAGATAAGTTAATCCCACCTATTATGAGTTAAATACATTGATTATGTTTAGATTTTAACATGGAAATTTGTGGGAATTGGGATTTTGAGGAAGAAACCTAGAAAATTGTATTTATGGATTTTGACCATGATTTTGGACATGGAATTCGGGATAAGTTATATATTTGAGTTCATGGTGTTATGCGTAAACTTTATCTTCAAAAAATTTCGAAATCCGGGCACGTGGGCCCGAGGGCGATTTTGTCAACTTTTCGGTCGGGGTTAGAAATTGTTATAAATTGGATTTTAATAAGTATTTGAGCATATATTAATGGGTTTGCATAATTATTGATTAGGTTTTGAGCGTTGGGCATCGGTTGAGTCGTCGGAAGGGCTTGGAATGCCGGTTATGGAACTTCGGAGCGAGGTGAGTCTCCTTTCTAACCTTGTAAGAGGGAATTATCCCCATAGGTGAATTAATTGGATATGTGCTTCTATTTGTGGGGGCTACGTACGCACGAGGTGACGAGAGTCCGTGCGTAGCTACTATTATGCTTAATTCCGGGTAGTCTAGGACACAAAAGCATGCTTTACTAGTAATATTTGCAACCATGCTATCAAATTAAAAAATGCTTTAAACATATCGAACGTGTAAATGAATTTCTAATAGGCTAGATATTATTTCTTGACTTTTAAAAGAGAATCCTGCCTTTTCCTGAATAATTGCTCCTTGATGAATTCTTGATTTGACTGTTTGAATGTGTTTATCTATTGTGGAACGGGCCGAACGCCTCGGTAGATTGAATAGATGCATCTATGGTTCGTGCCATTCGACCCTCTGGCAGTGCACAGTTTAAATATTTGTTGGATCGGGTCGTACGACCTCGACCTGTTTTGCGCATGCTTGTATTGCTTGCCTTGAGATTCATAGAATGTTGATACGTGTTCGCCCTGGCCTGAGATAAATGTATAAATGATGAAAATGAATTTGGAAATTTCCTAAAACGAAAGATATGTTTACTTACCTCATGCTATTGAGTTATAACCATTTTTATGAAAATCCTCGATTTACTATATTGTTGATACATTATTACTGGACCACTAGTAAGTGTCGAAGTCGACCTCTCGTCTCTACTTCTTCGAGATTAGATGGGATACTCACTGAGTACACGTTATTTTTGTACTCATGCTACACTTGTTGTGCATTTTTGTTGCACACGCACATGTTTCTCTAGCGGCCTAATGGGCGTAGCAACAAGGATGATACGGAGACTTTAGGTGAGGTGCATCTCTCGAGGCAACCCGTAGCCAGTATAGTCTCTTTCAGTGTATAGAATTTACTTTCTGTCCAATTTTTATTTCGGGCAGTTATTGTACTTCATTTGATTTCGTAGTGATTGCTTATGCACTTGTGACACCGGGTTTTGGGATGATTTCGGGATTATTCAGTAAATAAATTTTTGTAAAGACATCATTATTGTTCAGTAGAGTTTATTATTCCTTGTCTAAATGTTTAGATGAAATGATTTTAAAAATATTAAAATGAAAATTTACTAGTTATATGGTGTTGGCTTGCCTGACAGTGGTGTCCTGCGCCATCACGACCCTTAGTGGATTTTGGATCGTGACAACATGGTATCAGAGCACTAGGTTCCCTTAGGTTTCACGAGTCCTGAGCAAGTCTAGTAGAGTCTTGTCGATCGGTACGGAGACGTCTGTACTTATCTTCGAGAGGCTATAGGGTTGTTAGGAGCACTCCCCTTCTTGATTCCTCATCGTGCGATTTGATTCCTTTGAGGCTTGTGCCTTTGTTTCCTTCCTACTCGATCTGATGCAACGCGAAGCACTTATTATAAATCAGGAATTGAGGAATTGTAATGGTACTACGAATATGGTGCGTGATGTTTCTCCCTGCGTGGTTGTTTGATCTATTGAAGCTACCTTGCGAAAGGATATTCTGTCATTTCAGCTAAGTAGATGTACTTCTGAGAGCTTCGAGGTATGCAAAGGTTGCTATGATGCTTATGATCGGTTATTGCGCAGTATTGACGAGAGGGTGGAATGCTTGCCTACGTGTCGGGGCAGTGAATGACTTGAGAGGAGGTTTACTAAGTGTATGATTCAGAGATCCAGTATCTTATTTCTAGCGAAGGAAAGTCAATCCAACTATAAATGATCAGGTTTAGGTTGATAGAGTAATGAGACTTGGTGTTTTCAAGTGTGGTGGATTTTTTTTACTGCGACGCGGTGTCGTCATCCTCGCTTGTATGTGTTAAGTTCGTCGGTGTTATGATCTTCTACAATCCACCTTTGGAGCAGGATATTGCGAGATAGTATTGAAGAAATGACTATCAGAGATCGCGGTGTGTGGTAGTTCAGGATTGAATCGGTGTTTCTAATGTTGACGGCTCGGGGAAGATGACCTTCGAAAGGATTTAAAGTTAGTAGCGATCTATTAGTTCAGGTGCTACAGAGATAGATTTTTATTTAAGGCAACAACTGGGCAGTGAAGGATGAGAAGGACACGTGGGAAGTGTCTTGTGGTGATTAAACTTCTAGAAGGCCAAGTGTGAGAAGCAAAAGTCGAGTAGTTTCTTAAAGGAGTGAGTTTGACCAAAGTGGGAGAGTGGCACAGTAGCATATGGGATCAGTGGCAGGATAACTACACATCCGAAAAAAAGGTTTAGAGTGAATTGGGATTCAGGGTGGACAGTGACTGGGTTTTCGGACTTGACTTGAAATATCGCCTATTATACGGCGGGAGATTTGATATAACGGAAAAGAGTTGCTTGATGTGAAGAAGGATACATCATGACTTTGAATTGGAAGATATTGTCTTGTATTTAGTTGATGTCCATAAGAAGAGAACAAACTAGTGCAGTTGGAGAATGATCACGGGCTCAGGATGGGTTATAGATGTCATAGTGATTGTACCTCGTGTAGCATCGTTGGGAGATGTCGGCATGTAATTTCCACAGGTGGGTTATCTCTTGTGAGCAGGTCAGGGGTCGCGTAGGTGGCGAAACTTCTGCGAAGGATGTTATCGACTATCCAGTAAAGAGTCGAATGTGTGAATATTGCTAGAGATTTAGAGTGTTCATGAAATGCTAACAGAAGGACTTTAAGGAATTTGGCGGGTTGGATGTGTAAGATCATGTCAACAATGAAGAAAGAATCTTGGTGGGTTCCAGAGTTATGTAACAGTTGTCTCAAGCTAAGTAGGAGAGTCCCACCGCCTACGATTGGGTTGCATGGTTATCTACTTATGAGGTTTCTGGCTATCGGTATATTGGTGAGTTATTGCAGCTAAGGGAAAAGAATGTATGTGGTAATTTGAGCAAATGATTTGATAAATGTGTGCTATAATTTGCCTTATTGACCTATGCTCATGCTTTGGGAAGATTTGGGGCTTATGCTTCGTACAAATGTTATTACAAGGGAAGTGATTCAGTCGGGTGCTTCATTGAGATAGGTGTTCGTGTGCCAGCGGAGCCTGGGAGTTGATTATATTCAGGACCAAGCCAGAGTGGGTAACTCTCAACAACTGTCCTAGTGAAATCAAGGTTAAAAATGTTGTGCCTAAGGATTTCAAGCCCGCAGTATGGTTAAGAATCGAGCTTTTGTAGCGGATCATGATAAGAGGCTTGGAATGTTCTATGATGTCTTTGACTCGCAGTGTAGCATTTGGAGGAAAAAGAGAGAATGACTTCGGATTCGTAGAGGAATTATCGGAATTAGTGTATCAGTTGAAGATACGAATGTGCGTGCAAGGAGGGTATGAAATGGTTCATGGGTTTGGAGACAATGTGGTCTCATGGAATGGGGTCAATCAAGATGAGCGCGGATTTAGGTTGGTGATGTAAGGAATGGAGCTATTATTATCTCTAAGCCAAGATAAGGATGAATTAGAAGAAGTTAGATTGGTTAGCCATGGTTGAATTTGCATAAGGGTGGCGGTGATTAATTCCTTCAGCGTGATTTAGTTATGCATGTGATTCGTGATAGTACGTGTGAGGCTTGACGGCTGCCGTAATTGATTTTATCTGGAAGTATTCAGGTATTATGGCATGTTATTTGTAGGCGGATCTTGGAAGGGTTATGGTGGTTCAGACCACTACTTGAGGATTTGAATGTTCTACGGTTATGAGAATTCACTCGTGTGTTGCTATAGTTATCTTGAAATAAGTTAAGTAGAAAGTTTCAATGTGGTTAAGTGTTCACTCCATTAGTGGTTCAGGAGTTATGATGAAATTCTTGTACTATCGCATATTGGCATGTTAAGTGTAGTGAGCGGTATGAAATTTGAAAGTGAGGATCAAGGTTGCGGGTTGGGGTTGGCAAGGATGTCACGAGCTCAGATGAGCAGGAAAGGGATTTGAATGTTTAGAGTAAGCTGGTATTGTCTTCAACGTCACCCGAGATCGGTGTTTTGTGAAAGAGGCTTTGCATTCTGGTTTTGGATTCTTGATTTGTTTTACACCGTTAGTGTGATCGATCGTATGGATGTGCAGACTTGTTACCTAGTGTGGAGGATCGTGGGAGCGTACCCCACGGAGAGATTGTATAAGTGTGATATATAGTCACTTGATTGATTGGAAATATAAACCGAGTATGGAGATTGTGGTAATATCGCTGATTTGTGAATTTATGCCTGAAGGGCACTCGGTTTATTGGGTTGTGGACTGTGGAGGTTCGATCCGGTTATGATGGTTGACCTTGTGTGTTATGGAAAGAGGGGGTTATTATGGAGCCATGAAAGGTTATTAGCCCAATGCGGTGCGATCAGAATCAGCTTGAGGTCTGTGGATGGATTTAAATGTGAATATGGGCTCTATATCAAACTGGATGTGTTTCTTTAAGCATAGCACTCCTTATGGAGGGGTATTCGGATGTTGGATTCTATTTCGTCGTTGGCTATCTCATGTAATGCTATATGGTGCCGTGTGAGTTGTGAAATGGCTTGATAATTTT